TTCAGACTTTAGACTTCAGACTTCAAACATTGGTTCCGAGCTTCGCTAATAGCCAAGAGGGTCTGAATGGGGTTAACTGACTACTTACATTTGCCTGAATTTTTGACTGATAACTGACAAAATATCCTAACTGACAACTGAGAAATGATGAAAAAGTGATGAGTCAGCATTTTGCAGTAACTGACTACAGATAACTTGCAATATATCGCACTGACAACTGACAACTGACAACTGGCTTAAATTTTAGCTGACAACTGACAACCCAAAGACCCCCATTAAGACCCTCAGCCAACATTGCTTCTGCGAAACTGGCTAATATTTAAGGCACTTATTCAGTCAAAGCTATTCAAACTAAAGTTAAAAATGGTCAGAATGATTTAGATTGCAAATGCAGACTGTTGGAATGTGTCAGTGAGTTCTGACAGTTGACAGTTCTTTGCAGATTTAAACGCAGAACGATAAAACATATAATACTATTGTTTGTAGAAACACCACGTAAATTTATTACTGCAGTAAATTTATTAACTTATTTATTCTGTAAATTTATCAAGTTAAGTATAACACGCGCTCAAAACTAATGCGTATATATATAATATGCCACTTCATGTTATGACTAAATTCAAAACAGTTTATTTTTCGAAACGTTTCTCAATCGGCAAACAAACTTAAAAAGTATGTTTAGTGTTTTATCTGTAAAATAGTCAATTTTAAAGCATCATTGATAATTGTATTTTAATTGACAATTTTTAACTAGCAAAGTGATTCTAAGAGGAGGAACGCAAAAGCAATGTTGGCTACTAGCGAAGCTCGGAACCAATGTTTGACAGTCAGACTGTCAATATTATGAACGTTTTATAATATTAAGAACTCATTAAGAACTCATTAAGAACTCATTCAGTTGGAACTTACTAAGTTATGTAGCTGATTATGCAGCGTATTATTAGTTAGATTATCTAGTATATTGTTATGTTAATAAAGTAAAAACCCCATAAAAATAGAACGTTATTTCAGACTTATGTATAAATATACTGTGTATGTAGTCGGTAAAGTACGTGTCAAAAATACATTTTATTATAAAATAACATGTATATAACGCGTGCTCTGATTGGTCGAAACCCGTGTTTGGATCAGGCCATCCAGACACGGAAGACTATCGTGTTGTTGTTATTTTATAAAACAATTACTTTATGGTTTCCGTGTTTGGATGGCCTGATCCAAACACTTGGGAATGTTGCTCGAGTTAAGAAAAGCGCGCAAAATCACTCGCCTTCGGCTCGTGTTTTCGCGCGCTTTTCTTAACTCTCGCAACATTCCCACGTGTTTGGATCAGGCCATCCAAACACGGAAACCATAAAGTAATTGTATAGTGAAACCGATATTTGAGTTTATAACAGACTTTAGACTTCAGACTTCAGACTTTAGACTTTAGACTTTAGACTTTATACTTCAGACATTGGTTCCGAGCTTCGCTAGTAGCCAACATTGCTTTTGCGTTCCTTCTCTTAGAATCACTTTGTTTATGCTTTATTCTTTAGTTTATACAGTTAGCTACCTTTTTAAATGCATCTGCCAGTTGAGAAACATAAAATCATAGTTAAAAATTGTCAATTAATATACAATTATCAATGATGCTTTAAAATTGACGCCATATTTAAGCTGAGCAATATAAGCAAAACTTACTGAACTTCACTACATAATTTTCTCTTTGGCGTAGTCTAAAATCTTTTCAATTTAGCATTATTTTACAGATAAAGCACTAAACATACTTTTTAAGTTTGTTGCCGATTGAGAAACGTTTCGAAAAATAAAAATTGAGTCATAACCTCAAGTGGTATATATTATACGCATTAGTTTTGAGCGCGTGTTATACTTAACTTGATAAATTTACGGAATAAAGTTAATAAATTTACTGCAGTAATAAATTTATGTGGCGTTTCTACAAACAATAGTATTAATTTATATGTTTTATCGTTCTGCCTTTAAACCTGCAAAGAACTGTCAGAACTCACTGACACATTCCAACAGTCTGCATTTACAATCTAAATCATTCTGACCATTTTTAACTTTAGTTTGAATAGCTTTGACTGAATAAGTGCCTTAAATATTAGCCAGCTTCGCAGAGGAAATGTTGGCTATTAGCGAAGCTCGGAACCAATGTTTGAAGTCTGAAGTCTGAAGTTTGAAGTCTGAAGTTTGAAGTCTGAAGTCTGAAGTCCCTTCACGGCTTCCGTATACGAGGAATCACTACCTGATCACTACACGCTATGCTGTTTGCGGTTTGTGTTTCCACTTAGTCAAAAACTACGGTAAACTTTTTTTAAATTTAGCCCCCCAAAATAAAATATGTTCCGCCGCCCCGGTATAATACGTAAGACCAAGTGGAATATTAAGAATATATTCACTGGCGCATGGGCGTACCGGAAGGAAAAATGTAGGGGGGCGGAGAGAAATTTGCCCGACTTTTCCGGATTTTGCCCGACAAGTACCGAAAAAATTTTTCCGGAATTTGTTTTGGCGACCTCCCCCCCTCCCCTCCCCCGTCGCCAAAAAAATGTTGTCACTGTACCATTTTAGGGGTCAAAAATTTTTTCCGGACATACCATAATTTTCCGGAACCTAACAAAAATTTTACAAGCATCACAAAATTTACAGAATTTGTCCGATTTATTTTTTTAATAAACCAAAATTGCCCGACTGTTCAGCGAATATTGCCCGACTGCCCAAAAAACTGGAGGGGCTGCCGCCCCCCCCCGCCTGTGTTAAATGCATGCTAGACCCATGCATTTAACACAGATTATGCAGATTTATTATTCTAATTTTAATTTTTTTAAAAAATTATATTTCGCCCAAAATATTACATTTACATAGAATAGGTATATACAAGAAATGGGCTAGGAGCCTGCCAGAAACCACATGGCTTTTTTAGTTTATTATTTAAGATATATCAATAAATCTAAGCTCGTGTCAGTTCGAGCGTTTCTCAGAGAATTAAGGAAAAGAAGTATTATATAATACATATGTACAATTATATTTACAAAATACAAAAACATGTTATATTGTTAAATGCAGTTGTGAAAAGTACTTTTTAATTATTGATTTGAAGGAAGCATAAAACCTAGGTTCTTTATATTTTGTGGGAAGATTATCCCACTCGTCTATAAATGGTTCCTTTATTGGCAAGAGCATGTTTGGTAGCTATAGTTTGTTCTGTTACTCTTTTTGTATAGCAACGAATAATTTCTTGTGTTATAAATAATTCTGGTAGATTCTGTAGATGAAAATCTGGCTAGTGAATAAACTCGTTAAATAATCATTTATTTTACATAAATTGAGTATTTGTAAGTCATCACAAATTGGTTCTGAACGATCGAAATAAGATTTGAAAGTCATTAATCTGACAATTTTGAATATTGACTAACTTTTGAAAACGTGATTTACAGGTGTTATCCCAGATTAAATTACCATTAGTTAGATATGGATAGACCAAAGCATAATATATTAGCTTTAAGGAATTTAGGTTTGTGCCATGTCGACAGACTCGTCCCCAGTCGTTATTTGAATTTCAATTTTATAGGGACGAATAGGTATATATCCATATATATATATATATATATATATATATATATATAGATCAGTACCAAATGTGTACGCGCCCACTTCTGGCCGCGCGCCCGCTCTTAAAGCGACTGGGGACGAGTCTGCCATGTCGAATCCTGGAAATAATTGCCGCACATGCATTTAACCATTTTTTCGTAATCAAATCCAAACATGTCAGAAATTGGTCAAGAACAATTCCTAGAAATTTAACTTGTCTTATATTGTTATTATTGATTGAAATGTTTATTGAAATGTTAATTTTCGGATTTGAAATCAGTACTTAAATATGATGCGCCAAAAAACCCTATCACTCAACTGTATGGCAATGATCCAGAGCATAGATAACATACGCTTTATATTGTCGTGTAGGACCTGTGGAGAATATATACAACACCGTTTAGCACGTCTATAGGTTTTCATTTATACAAGAGAATCTTTCTTTACATGTTCATTTGTCATGATTTTGTTATTCATTATACATATGTAATCTAAATAGTCTTAAATATTTTATTTAAGTTAAACTAAATTTTTGTCAAAATTATACTGCGAAGGGAAGCCTCATATATCGATTTTGTCCACGAGAAACGTCATATGTTCGTTTGGGGGTGGGGCGGGGAGGGGGGCTCCAGGGGGATCCAGGGCTAGCCGCGAATTGAAGGGGGGATCCAGGGCTAGCCGCGAATTGAAGGCGGCTACGCCGCCGGCTTCAATTCGCGGCTAGCCCTGAATACGAGGTTGGGGGAGGGTTGCCTTTAACATTTCGGAATCGTCTTTGCAGAATATAAAAAAAAAACAACTTGATACAAACACTCACCAGTCTATATATTCGTAATACCATGCCTGTTCCATATACATTTATATTATTACGCCTTCCTTGCATTGAAAACACTCAAATTTCAAGAAAAACGTGCTAAAATTGTCAATATCTCAGGCAAAAATTGTTTTGAGCTTGAAGTTCATACATTAATAAAAAAACATATGTTTTTTTATTAATGTATGAACTTCAAGATTTCCAATGTCTCTCAAAACAATTTTTGCCTGAGATATTGACAATTTTAGCACGCCAGCGGATGACACATTCCTCGCGGAAGAATCGCCAATAGCCGACCGTAGAAAATTACCTTATGTGTACTATAAGAACAAAATATCTATAACTATGTGCATGTGACGTTTCTACGGGGCTACAGAAGAGAAACGAACATATGACGTTTCTCATGGACAAAATCGATATGAGGCTTCCCTATCCTTAACCTTGCTCCAAAGTTAAAATATTTTATTCTTGGTTAATCAATAACTAAGTTGATTAAGTGTTTTGTTGACAATATCATGCCTTGCTTTCTGCATTTATGCCGGTTCATTTGTTTGTAAATGAGACAAGAGGAGTCTGTTCCTGTACGTTTGTCAGCTGCCAATCAGTAGCTTATGCATGACATCCATGGTCAACTAGGCAAATCAAGGCCATGAAAGAGATGTCCTGTTCTAAGGCGAAATTATTCCTAGAAGCTCGTCTGCCAAAGTGAAGTCGAAAGAAACGAAGAGAAGAAAAGGTTTTACGAAGAAAGAAAGTAAGTTTAAAATGGTTTTTTAAACAACTATTTAGCAAGCGTATATAACCATGCCTAATGAATATTTGTTTTACGCATGGAGTAAACACAGTGTCTTGGCTATATGTATACGCTAAGCAAACTATAAACTGCTTAAAAGTTATATCGCTCAAATCTTAGTTTTGGCCGATCTACCGTATATACATTTTTCAAATTTCTAACTGTATTTCGTTTAAAGTGTGCGTATGACAGCATGCATGCATAATAAAACAACTTCAATACCATTAACTATTAAAAATGTTTGAAATTAGTTTACACTGCATGTCACCAAACTTTAAAATTGGTTAATACTGCATGCAGTAAACCTTGATCAAAATATACCACCTTAATACAAATCGATCATTTCTCATCTTCGGACAAATGAATAAGAGTAAAATATTTTATTCTCGTTTTAAGGAGTGGGTCAAAATGTCGATTTATCTTTACTTCGCTTTTGTTCTTGTTATGAACGCCATGTTCTTCCCAAAAGGAGACGCTTTTCCCCGCGAGATGGACAGCATTGAAAAACGATCACACAAGCGTTGCTATTGGATTGGTGCAAGCGCTGGAACTAATGCATGGTGCGACGTAAACTGTAATCACGTTCCACCATTTTGTCCCCCGAATGATTGCTGGTGCTCGGGATATAAGAAATGAATGGCAGATGAAATGACTTGAACAATATACGATTTAGTTTAGGTACTGGAAGAGTGCATGTGTTAGAATTAGGTTCGAAATAAATATTTTAGTTGAATATACGAGTGTCCTGGTGTGTTAATTGTTTTTTTCTCGTGAAAGGATAGCCTAAGATGCGGACATTTAGATCTTTAATCTTCGCTATTAGTGATTGTTAAAAATTAATATTATATCAGGCAAAAATGAGTGTACTACTGTACCCAACCCAAACATAACATAACTGGAAAAGCGCATGAAATTATGTTTCATGTAATTTTATCAAATTCATGAAACGCGGCCTAAAGAATTACAAGGTGGAGAAGACACTGAAAATGCAATTTCCGACGATCTGGAGACTGCAAGTTTTCAAATGATTAGTCCTCGCTTGGGGCCAACCATGGTGGCGAATAATACAGTCAGTATCGCCTCGTGGCGGGTCTTGGATTCCCCTTCAAACTTTGAACTAAACTCCGAAGTTTAGCTGGTATTGATATGTACGACTACTAGCTTCTCTATTAAAAGTTTGGTCTAACTTGACCATATATAGGCGTTTAGTGCGGGCGGGAGAAGAGAGCTAACTTGACCACGGCCTTAGAGACCCAAGTTAAGCCCCTGGCTGTGAGAACTGCCAAAATTTCCGCTTTATTGAGCAGATTTTGCAACTAAGCTATATAAATATAAAGTTTGTTCGTTCACTGCAACCAGGTATATCAATCATGTTTCGCTCGCTACTCTGGTTTAAATAAATGATTACAAAGCCCAGTCGAATTGTAATCAAGACAATTCGACTGGGCTTTGTACAATTTGCTTACAATTCGACTGGGCTTTGTAATCATTTATTTAAACCAGAGTAGCGAGCGAAACATGATAAGCTATATAAATTAAGAAAATAGCAATGATTCAAAATTTGTCGACTGGAGCTGTTCAAAGTATGAAATGCGCTTCAGTTCAATTTTCGAATTTGAAATAGTACTTATATGATGCGCCAAAGATTCTGTTTTATATAGCAAACCCTATATCGATATCATTCAAGTTTTCAACTGTATGGCAATGACCCACTAAAGTGTCGTGTAGGACATGTGGACTTCCAGAAGGTGTGTGTTTTAGTGTTTTGTACTCAGGCGAATATAATGTTTTTGACTCTGAGTGTATATCCAAGCCTGACCACGGTGGGAATCAAACCCGCGGCCTTTGGGGTACTAGTCCAATGCTCTGCCAACTGAGCTACGAGACCAAGTCTGTTCGAGTGTGTGGTATTTCGGAACTAAGTCTAGTACCTTCGATACCAATGTGTTCTATGATCGTGATTTTTTTGTGTGTTTTGATGTTATGTGCTCATGCAGGTGAATATAAATAATGTTTTTGACTGTGAGAACTGCCACAATTTACCCTATCATTCAACTGTATGGCAATGATCCAGAATTAACATACACTTTATATTGTCGTGTAATGAGGACATGCATGTGTGGACTTCCAGAAGGTTTTCATCTACACAAAAGAATCTTTAGATGTTCATTTGTCATCATTTTGTTATTCATCACATGTGTATAATCTAACCAGTCTTAATTAAACATTTTATTTACAAAAGTTCTATATTTTTGTCAAAATTATACTGTAACTTTACCCCAAAGTTAATATATTTTATTCTTGTTAATTAATCAATAAAGTTGTTAAGTGTTTTGTTGACAATATCATGCCTTGCTTTCTGCATTAATTTATACTGGTTCATTTGCTTGTAAATGAGACAAGATGAGTCTGTTCCTGTTTGTCAGCTGCCAATCAGTAGCTTATATGCATGACATCCATGGTCAAGAAAGAGAGTCTATAAAAACGATGCCTGTTGTAAGGCGAAATTATTCCCTGAAGCTCATTTGCCAAAGTGAAGTCGAAAGAAACTATATAACCTGAATTAATATGATAACTAAAGATAGCTACTGAAATATAGCGGACTTACGTACCTGAAAATTTCATGTAATCATAATATGTCAAAGAGTTTTGTTCATCCTCAAGGCCGTAGCGACTGGGGGAGGGGCGTGGGGGCGACATCCCCCAATAATTGCTCATGAGTAATTTCAGGTAAATTTCCAGCAGAATTTCAGGTAAATTCAGGTAATTCTCAGGGCATAAACAACTCTGTGCTCTGAATCAGAAATATAGAGTTAACAATCGAGGAATTAAACTGGAAATTCCAAAACTTTCTCCGAATTTTCCTATAGTCACATTAAACTGTAAGTAACATTGTCAATTGATCAGTAGTTATTTTACTTATCTTCATTGTTAGACAGTACTAAAATATTGAAATATATTGGGTAGGAAAAACTCTAAAAATGCCATTTCGTTGTCACAACTTTATTATTATGTGATCCACTTACCGATATCATGATTGTGACTATAATTACTTCCTGATATTTTTGTGTGTGTTTTTTGATATTTTGTACTCAGGTGAATATAATGTTTTTGATGTTACTCTGAGTGTATATCCACACCGGGCAGGCGGAAAAGGTAGCTGACCACGGTGGGAATCGAACCCGCGGCCTTTAATTGGGATACTAGTCCAATGCTCTGCCAACTGAGCTACGAGACCAAGTCTGTTCGAGTGTGTGGAACTAAGTCTAGTACCTTCGATACCAATGTGTTTTATGATCATGATATTTTTTGTGTGTGTTTTGATTTATATAGGCTACTCAGGTGAATATAAATAATATTGTTGAATATGTTGATGTTACCGTCTGAGTTCAGCCTGCCCGGTGTGGATATACACTCAAGTAACATCAAAAACATAATTACTTCCGTCGGTATATATATATATATATATATATAGGGTGTTGGGGAAGGAGTACTTACTGATATCAATATTTAGTTTCTACGGACATTATATTCCCAAGGTTATTAATTAGCGTGATCAGCAGTGATGACTTTCAACTGACCAAATTAGTGGGAAGTTCAACTCTGTTTCAGATTCAAGTTTTAATTATCAGGATATAATTTTGTCATGAATATCTGACTTAATTACTTGTTGCAAAACACAACAGCACTTATCAATACACGCTTCCGGAAAGTAGCTATATTTTATTCAGGGCTCTTTTGAGACATCCTGTATATATATATATATATACACCAAATATGTATTTAGAATCATATATGAGTAGAGTGCTCGATATACCGAAGTATAGAGCTAATATAGATAAAGATAAAATAAACCTGGTTTACTTCATAAGATTTATTCACTACAAACTTGTTTCGTATGACAAGCAATGCTTGCCACACTCATCAGGTGGTATATATATATATATATATATATATATATATATATATATATATATATATATATATATATATATATATATATATATATATATATATATTGAGCACTCTACAGGATGAGCCATTGCTGCTTACGCTTTGTGCGCATGCTCACTGCTTGCAGTTTGAGCACTCTGGCAATGGTTTGATGTCCCACATTCGTGAGACATCAAAGGTAACTATTAATATTAGTTACTTTCATCCTGCTCATCAGCACTACACTGATGAGGCCCAAAAGGCCGAAACGGTACCGTCTGTAGTTATATATATATATATATATATATATATATATATATATATATATATATATATATATATATATATATATATATATATATATATAAGCACCCTAGTTTTATTTGTTCTTAACTGTACACTATCAGGACTAAACCTGTTTTGAGACAATGGTCCAATATACAGCTAATTCAATTAAGGTTGTCCTCTGAAAACCACAAACTTAGATCCCTAAGCGCGAAAAGAACGATGGACATGCATACATGCAGTATCTAATTCATATACTGTTCCCACACTCCGTAGTTACGGTTGCTACGTCTCACAACTACAAGTCTTTTTGGTTTTGCGTGAAAAAAGCGATTTATAATTTACAAATTCCCGTGATTCTGACCTATTTCGGATTCTATTTGCTCGTCTAACCCAATTCAATAGCAACTGCTCGGCAAAATTCGTTGGATTTTTGAAACTTTTAACGTTAAAAAAGTTGTTTGTGGGACATGCTTAATTAAAACTCCTTTGGGAATTAAATTCACTTGTTTTGCATAATTGTCTTATTGCATAACCAATCTCATTATAATAAATACGCCCTGCATTGTGCTTTTCGCGTTTAGAGCTGTAAGCTTGTGGTTTTCAGAGGACAACATTAATTGAATTGCTCGTTTGCAATCGACGCCATCTTGGTTGATTTTCAAAACAGTTAAAATCTATATTCTTCATTCTTTGTCGTATTGTGCCAGAAATTGTAAACTATCCATAATACAGTAAGATGTTTTCAAAACAAACCAAAAATATTAAAGTAACTATTTCGATATAAACGGCTGGACAAAACTTTAAAATCAACCAAGATGGCGCCTAATGACACCTAATGACATGTAGCCGTCATGTGCAAGCAAAGAATTAGCTGTATTTCTACGTCTACCATGCTTCTCCGCGACCTTTGGGATACTAGTCCCATTTTATTAGGGATACTAGTTCCATATTATTTGTTATACTTTGCATATTTGTTATAAGTTGACTGAAACTTTTAACCAACCTGTTTCACAGGGTCTCACTACCTTGGCTAATTAATCAATTTTCTAACGCGCAATCGCAACATATATTCAAGAGATGTTCATAGTAATACCAGATATTCATCTAATTTAAATATGTATAAACCATAATTTCTTTTGGAGCAATTGATTTATGGAAGGATCTCCCAGATATAACTAAAAATCTACCTTTGTTTTCCTTCTTTAAGCAAGTTAAACCTACTTATTGGCTAAACTGTTACAACATACCTATTGAAATATGCATCATTTATGATATAAATTATGCTCATATACAAGCTCCCGCGATTGAGCCCTCTAAAAATGAGTTTGGTCCATCCATCGCTCTCGCTAATATGATGTCTCTCGCGCCAAAGATTGACGAACTGAGATGTTTTGTAAAAGATACAAAACCTGATTTAATTTCACTAACTGAAACCTGGCTTAATGACTCTGTTAGCGAGCATCATATTAACATTCCTGGTTTTAATTTATTATTAAAGAACCGTAGTTCTGGTGTGCATGGAGGTGTTGG